AATTATCAAAAATCATTCAACAACCTATGAGTTCACCCCACCTACGTGTATGCATCTATATGTCGGTATGTATTAACCTTTAGCTGGTTTATGTAGGATCCACGGTCTTCACTCCAGTCCATGGAGCTCTTTAATCTCTCTCTCACCGGGCTCAGTGAGGGAGATCAGGGGATAGGATTCCCAAGGGGCCGGAGCTTGTACTAATTCATAGGCAGGGGGCTGCGGATACCTACTGTCAATGGCAGTGGTAATGCACTTGAGATAAAGAGATGTCTAATGCAGGGGATGCAGCCACATCCGCACAAGGTCCGCAGTGTGACTGCTGCCACCAAGGATGTAAGTACAGACATCACTACATTTTTCCACTTGCCAAAAGTCTTAGTGAACCAATCTTCAATGTAATTAGCAATACCAGAGTGTTCAGTCATCTCTTCTGACAAGACTTTTAAGCTGGCCAGAGCCCTAGCAATTGAACCATCAGGATCAGTATTCATTGGACTATATGTGCAACATTGTTGTCCAATCATAGTACAAACGCCCCCTTTTTCAGCCAAAACAAAGTCTAAAGCAATCTACTTTGATATGACATGATAGATGTAGCTGCCAATTGTTCCTGAAAGCCAAAAGCCAAATCTCTAGTGAAGTTAGTGAGACGCTGAACATTGAAATGAACATAGTTTATACGATCTACATTTTTGTTTATGGTCACCCACCAGAAGTGAGCAGACTCAAAGCCTGCTGCCACCTGCTCAACTAACTTGTACTCATTTGGGACGCCACGGGGAACACCAATTGCATTAATGTACGTGGGCGATAATACTATAAGTGAAATCATAGTGCAGGTACCAGACCAATCAGGATAAGAGCATTAAATAATCTGTTACCACAACAGTACCAAAACACATCAGACTTGGCATAGGTCAGATGTGTAGCATTAGCTCATATAGTAAGATTGTATGTGGTGTCAAACCAATCAGGAGAGATGGTACCTACATTAGTTCCAGTAGCATTAGCCTTAGTTACACAAGTGTAGTTATTTTTGACTGCAGTAAAAATAGGAGGTACTGCATCTTTAGGTGCCAATGGGCAATAATGTTCCAATTCTCTGCATGCAGGTGTTT